GAGGGTCGGAGCCCTCGGTCATTCCCGCGGTAAAACGGGCGTGAATTAATTAGTTAGTTAGTTAATTAATTAATTCCCGGCCCTCGGTGCGGCTTTAGCCCTTGCAGGCGGTTCCCGAGCGCCGCTTCCCAAGGGAGCCGGGAAAAATCGGGAGTTAAAGGGGGAGGGCTCGCCCAGGGGAGTAAAACCCCGCCGGGGCTGGGGAAACTCGGTCCGGGCCCTCCGGCCTGCGGGAAGGGGCTCAAACAACGGGGAGAGACCGTGAAAGTGAGGGGGGGGCACCAAAAATGAGCCTGCCGCGGTGCTGAGGGCAGGAAAAGTGAGGGAGGGACAGGAAAAGTGGCCCTAAAAGCCAAGGAGGGATGCCAAAAGTGATGGGGGGAGACCCCGAAAGTGAGGGAGAGACACAAAATGTGAACCAGAAAGTGAAGGAGGGACACAAAAAGTGAGGTAGGGACACCAAAAGTGACCCTGAATGTGAGGGAGGGACACAAAAAACTGGGGAAAGACACCAAAAGTGATCCTAAAAGCAAGAGGGGGGTGCCAGAAGTGGTGGGGGGAGACCCTAAAAGTGAGGGAAGGGCACAAAAACCAGGGGAGGGACACAAAAAGTGACAGGAGGGAGACCCTGGGAGTGAGGGAGAGACACTAAAAGTCATGGGGAAACCCTCAAAGTGAGGGAGGGACACAAAAAATGACCCTGAAAGTGAGGGGGGAACAGAAAAAGTGACAGAAGGGAGACCTGAAAGTGAGGCAGGGACACAAAAGTGGGGAACAGACACAAAAAGTCACCCTGAATGTGAGAAAGGGACACAAAAAACAGGAGAGAGACAACAAAAGTGGCAGAGGGGAGACCCTGGAGATGAGGGAGAGACACAAAAAGTGAGGCAGGGACAGAAAGAGTGAGGGAGAGACACCAAAAATGACCCTGGCAGTAAGGAAGGGACACAAAACGTGAGGCAGGGATGCCAAAAGTGACTCTGAATATGAGGGAGAGACACAAAAAGTGAGGGAGAGAAGCCAAAAATGACAGAAGGGAGACTCTGAAAGTGAGGGAGGGACGCCAAAAGTGACCCTAAAAGTGAGGGAGGGACACAAAAGATGACCCTGAAAGTGAGGGAAGGACACAAAAAGTGAGAGATGCCAAAAATGACAGGGGGGGATGCCAAAACTGAGGGAGGGACACAAAAAGTGACCCTGAAAGTGAGGGAGGGACACAAAAATCTGGGGAAAGACACCAAAAATGACTCTGGAAGTGAGGGAGGAACACAAAAAGTGAGGGGGAGACACCAAAAGTGACCCTGAAAGTAAGGCAGGGACACAAAAAATGACCCTGAAAGTAAGGCAGGGACACAAAAAATGACCCTGAAAGTAAGGAAGGGGCACAAAAATCTGGGGAAAGACACCAAAAATGACCCTGAAAGTGAGGCAGGGACACAAAAAATGACCCTGCAAGTAAGGAAAGGACACAGAAAGTGAGGGAGAAACACTAAAAGTGACCCTAAAAGTGAGGCAGGGACACCAAAAATGACCCTAAAAGTGAGGGGGGGACACCAAAAATGACCCTAAAAGTGAGGCAGGGCCATGAAAGGTGACCCAAAAGGTCCAATCCTTTTTCCCCCCCAAAATCCCTTTTTTTTTTTTCCCCCAGAGTGCCAGCAGGGAGGTGCCAGGAGCTCAGGGGTGGTTGGGCTGGATTTTTCCTTTGTTCCCCCGAGCTGGGTGTGCTGTGAAACCCCCCAAACCCCAAATTTGGTCACTTTTTCCCCAGGCAGGACAATCTGGGGGGACACAAAGTGCAAATTTGGTGGCTTTTTCCAGGGTTTGTCCCCAGCTCGGGGCTGCTCTGCTGGGCTCCATCTCTGCCTGGGGAAAATAGTGCCAAAATTGATTTATTTCTTTATTTAAAGGATTTTTTTTTATTTTTAATTTTTTTATTCCCTTGGTTGTATTTTTAATTTATTTTTATTTATTTTAAATGGTTTTCAATTTATTTTTATATATTTTTAATTTATTTCCATTTCTTTTTTATTTATTCATTTTATATATATATATGTATATATATATGTATATATGTATATATATATAACACAGTATTTTTCAATATGTGTGTCCGTAGTGTAAGCCCGGCCCGCCCCTCCGGGCTGCCCTCGCTGGCCTCGGCGCAGCTGCCGCGGGCAGCGCGGGGAGCCCGTCCCGCACAAAGGCCGGGGCAGAGCAGCGCCGCAGCCCGCGGCCGTGACGCGCCGGGCCGATCGTTTCACGGTCTCCCGCGCAGGAAAGAGCCCCGGCTCCGCTCCGTGCATCCCTCCCTTCCTGGGGAAGAGATGAAAGCGGCAGCGCCGGCCGCTCTGCCTCAGCCGCGTTTGTCTCCCCGGCAGATCCTGCGCGGCTCCCGCCGGGGCCGCCAGCCATGCGCACGGCGGGATGAAGCTGCAGGCGGTGGTGGAGCAGCTGCAGAAGCAGCGGCAGCAGCAGCAGCAGCAGCCGGCGGTGCCCATGGATTGCCGGGAGCGCCGCCGGGAGCCGCAGGTGCCGTTCCCGACACCGCCGCCCTTCCCCGGCCAGCCCCGCGCCGGGCGCGCCCCGGGGGTGTCACCCGCCGTGCCCCCGGGGGTGTCACCCTCCGTCCCCGCGGGCAGAGCCCCCGCCGTGGGCAGCCGGCCCTTGGAGCAGAGCGGCGGGAACTCTGAGGACGAGGAGGAGGATGAGGAGGAGGAGGACGAAGAGGAGGATGAAGAAGACGGCGCTGAGCTGGAGGACGGCTCCGGGGTGGCCGGCCGGCGGAGCTGCCCTGCCCTGCCGTATTTCCGCGCTCCCAAAGGTGCCCATGGCAAGGCCAGAGGGGGATCTGCCGGCAGCCCCGTGCCGGGCGCCCAGCAGGGCAGGGAGGAGCAGGGCACAGACCCTGCCCAGCGCTGCGCAGCCCCGGGGCGCCCCGGCTGGCGCCTGGACGAGCAGCTCAAACAGGTCAGTGCTGGCGTTCCCTGCTCCCAAAACCTCCATTTCCCTTCCTCAGGAGTGCTCCCTTCTCTGAGGAGATCCCACCAGGAGTTGGCTTTGTGGGTTTCCCCGCTCTGTGAGAGCCTTTGTGGGGTGGGATTTTGGGAAAAACCTGGTGGTTTGCGGATTTTAGGTGCGGGCAGCTCCCTGCTAACGCCTCACTGGAGTTACTTTTGTCAGACCTCAGGGATCTTGGGATTGTGGATTTTGGAGTGCAGGGGGATGTGAGCTGATATTGGGAGTCAGAGCACTTTATGCTCCCTGTGTGGGAAGGGAAGGGAAAAGGAAAGGAGGAAGAGAAAAGGAAAGGAGAAAGAAAAGGAGAAAGGGAAAAGGAAAGGAAAGGAGAGAGAAAATGAAAGGGGGGAGAAAAGGAAAAGGAAGTAAGGAGCCAGCTCACTGCTGCCTTGTGGGAGGTTAATTCCACCTCTGAGTGAGGAATTGCTGCTCTTTGCAGCTGAGAGCCAGGGGATGGTGGAGTGATTTCCTTTGTTGCCAGCAGGATTTCAGTGGTCACTGGGGTCTGTCCCTGCAGAGCAGGTGGGTGTTCCCTCCCCAGCTCCTCAGGGAGCAGCCCTGGGCTGTAAAACCCCCACTGGCTGCTGGTTTTTCTCCCAGGGGCTGGGCCCAGGAGAGGGAGTTGCTCAGATGAGGTGGGTTTGTCACTCGGGGGCCATTGCCTCAGAATTTACTGGATGGGAGTGGTGACGACTTCCTCTTGCAGGGCTCTGGGTGGGGAAAAGGAGGCAGGGCTCAGGTTTTCCAGGATCTCTTTCTTTAAAAAGCCAAATAAGCTCAGCCTAGTCCAGGGCTGGTTTTGATCCTTGCTCAGCTGCTGCTTCTCCCTCCTGTTGGCAGAGCCCTGCAGATCTCACTGCTCGTTCTGGCCAGGCAGTGGCCATGAAACCAGCCAGGGCTTGTGTGGAAGAGGGGAAAAAAATGGAATAAAACATCATTCCTGGGTTGGCACAATGTGCTTTGGCCCATTCCTGCAACTTGGGAGGCCACTTCAATCCAGAAGTCCAAAGTGCCCAGGAAAAACTCCAATAAAACCACTTTTGCTGCTGGGAAGGGCAGGAGTGGGAGGAATCCATGGATACCAGGTTCAGGAGTGAGTTATAAAGGAATAGCAGGGACAGCTCTGGAGAACAGTGGGAAAAGGTGTCAGGAAAAGGACAGGTCCCCCTGTTGTCCCAAGGTTTTTGGAGGTGGAGTGGTTTGGATCTGTGGCTGGGGTCCAAGTGGAGCTGCTGATTCCCAGTTCAGAGCTGGGGAATGAAACCAGGGGCAGGAAAGGGAGAGAATTGTGTGGGGAGCTCTAGGCTGGCCACTTCATTCTTTGGAATCTTTAATATCCAGGCATTTTTTAAAAATATGAGCTTTTCCCTTTGCTTTCTCTATTTAATGGGAAAAAATCCAGGATGAAACAGATTCTCCAGTTTGTTTCCAAAATGATTCCTGAATTAGGCTTTTATTTTTCAGCTTCTTTTACCAGTCTTGTGTCCTGCTCCTGGAGCATTCCTAGGATGCAGAATGCTCTTGGAAATGGTGGGAAAAGTCACTTCCTTCCCTCAAGGCTTACTTGTTCTTTTGAAAGTTTTGGGGCAAAGAATCCCTTGGAATCCTGAGGCTGGGATTACCCAGAGAAATCTGGGATCCACCAGGAAAAGGAAGCCACTTCTGTCCCATCCCAGGAAATCATTGTAGGGCAAGGCTGTGGGCAAAAGCTCCTGGGAATGCGCTGAATTTTGGGATTTTTGTCAGCACAGGGAGTGCAGGAGCTGATCCAGGAGAAGGAATTGCTGGGGGGTTGCTCTGTTTGCTCCTCCAACCCTCTGGAACACCCTGAAATCCATCCCAGCTCCTGGGAAAAGGGCTGGTTTGGGGGGAAAATGAGGGTTTATTCCAGGGCTGGCAGTGTTGGGTTTGGTGGGTGCTCACATTGTTTGGGAATATCTGTTCCTGGGAAAGCTGAGCAGGGAAAACCAGGAGCACAGCTTGGTGCTGCTACCTCAGCTCCAGCAGGAATGTGAGAAGAAATCCCAGATTTCTAGGCCCTAAATCCCAGATTTCCAGGCCCCAGCTTGGAAATCAGGAATGTGAGAATGAAGAAATGCCAGATTTCCAACTTGGAAATCAGGAATGTGAGAAGAAATCCCAAATTTCCAGGCCCCAAATCCCAGATTTCCAGGCTCCAGCTTGGAAATCAGGAATGTGAGAAGAAATCCCAGATTTCCAGACCCCAGCTTGGAAATGAGGAACATGGGAATAAATAAATCCCAAATTTCCAGACTCTAGCTTGGAAATTAGGAATGTGAGAATGAAGAAATCCCAGTTTTCCAGGCCCCAAATCCCAGATTTCCAGGTTCCAGCTTGAAAATAGTGAATGTGAGAAGAAATCCCAGTTTTCCAGGCCCCAAATCCCAGATTTCCAGGTTCCAGCTTGAAAATAGTGAATGTGGGAAGAAATCCCAAATTTCCAGCTTGGAAATCAGGAATCTGAGAATGAAGAAATCCCAGATTTCCAGGCCTCAGGCTGGAAATCAGGAATGTGAGAATAAATCCCAAATTTCCAGGCTCCAGCTTGGAAATCAGGAATGTGAAAATGAAGAAATCCCAGATTTCCAGCTTGGAAATCAGGAATGTGAAAATGAAGAAATCCCAGATTTCCAGGCCTCAGGCTGGAAATCAGGAATGTGAGAATAAATCCCAAATTTCCAGGCTCCAGCTTGGAAATCAGGAATGTGAAAATGAAGAAATCCCAGATTTCCAGCTTGGAAATCAGGAATCTGAGAATGAAGAAATCCCAGATTTCCAGGCCTCAGGCTGGAAATCAGGAATGTGAGAATAAATCCCAAATTTCCAGGCTCCAGCTTGGAAATGAGGAATGTGAGAATGGATAAATCCCAAATTTCCAGCTTGGCAGTGAGAACTCTGGGAATAAATCAACCCATCTTTCCAGGCCCAGCCCCTGCTCCTTGCCTTTTCCACGGAGCAGGGCTCCCTGGCAGGGCTTTGTGCCCAGGATTTTGGGGATTCCTCCCAGAAATGCTGCAAAAGCCTGAGCTGAACCTTCCCAGGGTCAGGCTGTTCATGAAGAGAATCAGCTTCAAATCCTTCCTGAGCCTTTGCTGCAGGCCCTGGGAACGAGGGGCTGGGATTCCAGCACCTGGAAAATGTGCCTGGACTGCTCAGGAGAGAGCAGTCCTTAATCCAGGAGGGGAAAAGGGGAATTTCCCAGCTGGGTTTGTGCTCTCGGGGGGGTTTTCAGGGTTGGATTTATTCAGGGTATTTTCAGCTCTTGGTTTTTTCCCTTTTTATGCTGAGGTGGGAGGAGATTCCTCATTCTCAGCTGCTTTTTCTTCTGCTGGAGGGAGAGGTTTGGATTGTCCCTGTGCTGCTGCTCCTGAAAATCCCTGGGAAGGGAAGGGAAGGGAAGGGAAGGAAGGAAGGAAGGAAGGAAGGAAGGAAGGAAGGAAGGAAATTCAGAGGAAAAGAGCAAAATGGAAGTTCAGAGGAAAAGGAAAGGAAAATGGAAGTTCAGAGGATTCCTCAAGAAGAGGAAAGGAAAATGGAAGTGGAGATGATTCCCAGCTCCTCCCCTGCAGAAGCCCATAGGTGAGTTAGGATCCTGAGGCAGGAAAAGGAGGCAGACAAATCACTGTAGGATTCATTCAGTGCCACGTTTATTTGTGGGGCTGGTGGCAGCTTGTCTCCCCAGGGGCAGCTCCCAGGGGTTCAGGCTGCACACAGGAGCTGCCAGCAGCTGCAGAGTTTTATTCCCTTGCCCTTGTGGTTTTCTCCCTCTGGGGTCACTCAGTGACTCTGGACTGGCACTGAGGATCCCTCTTCTTACCCAAAATCAATCCTGGGCTGATTCCTCTGAGTCTTTCGGGACAGGAGGAATTCAGAGAGCCCAGCTTTTCCTCAAGGATGGAGCAGCAGGTTCCTGTTTGCTCGGGGGAACACGTGAAAGGAACTGAATTAAAAAAAAAGCAATTAATGGTTAAACCCCAGCCCTTCCCTTCCCCATCCTCCCTGCCATTCCTGAAATCACTCGGATGTTTTCAGGGGCTGCCTTTGAAGCTGGGGGCTGCTGAATTGAGCTCTGTTATTAGCAAGGCTGGGTTCCCATTGCAGGGAGCTGCTGTGGGCAGTAATTACCCCTTGGCTCTCCCTGCCTGAGAACTTGCAGCTCGGGGCAGCAGCCCTGATCTTATCAGCGTTTGTTCTACAACAGTTTTCTTTCTCAGAGCATCTGTTTCACTTCCTAAGGCTTAACTCTGCCCACAAAAGGAATTTCTGTGGATTCTCTGATAATCCTGAAATTGCTGCCCCAGTCCCTTTTCATTGACACAACCCACGGGGCAGGGGAGGCCTCATCCCCAGGTGGGGATTTCAGCAGATTCCTGGCCTAAAAAAACCCCTGTAAAACCCCTGCAAAACCTCTGCAAAGTGAGGAGGTGCAGCCTGAGCTGGGTTTCCCAGAGGAGTTTTGATTCCTCTGCTCTGGAAGGTTTTGGTCCTGAAAGGAATGGGAAGTGTTGTCACCTCAGCAGCTCAGGGGTTAACTCCAGCCTGGGGCTGGCAGCCAGAGTTGCTGTGGCCACCTGAGCTGGGCTCTGCTCAGATATTCCAGTGCTGGGGAGGGACCCCAAAATGAGCTCCTGGAATTGCTGCTGCAGCTTGCAGAGGGCAGCTGGGGGGGCTGCGGTGGGGGTGACACGGGGGAGGCTCTGCTGGCCCAGGGAAGGATCTGGTGGCACAGGGAGGCCTCTGTGGTGGCACAGAGGGGGCTCTGGTGGCACAGGGAGGGCTCTCATGGCCCCTGAGGTGTCAGTGGCACAGGGAGGGCTGTGGTGGCCCCTTGAGGTGTCAGTGCCACAGGAGGAGCCCTGGTGGCCCAGGGAAGACTCTGGTGACCCCCAAGGTGTCAGTGGCATAGAGAGGGCTGTGGCGGCACAGGGAAGGCTCTGGTGGCACAGAGGGGGCTCTGGTGGCACGGGGGAGTGCTGTGGTGGCCCCTGAGGTGTTGGTGGCACAAAGAGGGCTCTCTGAGGTGTCAGTGGCACAGAGGGGGCTCTGGTGGCCCTCGAGGTGTTGGTGGCACAGGGAAGGCTGTGGCGGCACAGGGAAGGCTCTGGTGGCAGAGGGACACCTCTGGTGGCCTTCGAGATGTCAGTGGCCCAGGGAGGGCTCTGGTGGCCCAGGGAGGGCTCTGGTGGCAGAGGAAGGGCTCTGGTGGCCCCTGAGGTGTTGGTGGCCCAGGGAGGGCTCTGGTGGCCCCTGAGGTGTTGGTGGCCCTGGGAGGGCTGGGTGGCCCAGGGAGGGCTCTGGTGGCAGAGGAAGGGCTCTGGTGGCCCCTGAGGTGTTGGTGGCCCAGGGAGGGCTCTGGTGGCCCTGGGAGGGCTCTGGTGGCCCAGGCCCCTCCGGAGCTGCCACGATGCCCTCTGGGGTTTGTTGGGGTTCGTTGTCCTCTCGTGCCCTCCCTGCAGGGGCAGTTTGTGTGCCCAGCAGCCGTGGCAGGGAGCTGGTGCCACGCTCCCTCTCCGGGTGCCAGGCTCCCTGGCTGGCAGCAGGCTTTGGTGGTGATGGCCCTGGCCTGCAGGGAAGGAATCCCTGCTGGGTTTTGGGGCTGCAGCCCTGGCAGGGTGGGAGGAAATGTTCCCTCAGGGCCTGAGCTGAGCCCTGGGAAAGGGCCTGGGATGGGGATGAGCTCAGCTTCCCAAGGGTGAGTTCCTTCCTTTCATTCAGCTTCCCATGGATGAATTCAGCTTTCCAAGGATGAATTCCATGGATGAATTCAGCTTTCCATGATTTAATTCAGCTTCCCATGGATAAATTCAGCTTTCCAAGGATGAATTCCATGGATGAATTCAGCTTCCCATGGATTCATTCAGCTTCCCATGGATTCATTCAGCTTTCCAGGCTCTCCATGGATGAATTCAGCTTCTCATGGATGAATTCAGCTGCTCATGGATGAACTCAGCTTTCCATGGGTGAGCTTGACTTCCAAGGGTGAATTCCATCATTTAATTCAGCTTCCCATGGATGAATTCCATGTTTTAATTCAGTTTCCCACGGATGAATTCAGCTTTTCCATCATTTAATTCAGCTTCCCATGGATAAATTCCATGTTTTAATTCAGTTTCCCATGGATGAATTCAGCTTCCTAGGATGAATTCAGCTTTCCAAGATAAATTCCACGGTTGAATTCACCTTTCCATGGTTAAATTCAGCTTCCCATGGATAAATTAATGGATAAATGAATTCCCATGGCTAATTCCATGGATGAATTCAGCTTCCCATGGATGGATTCAGTTTCCCATGGGTGAGTTCAGCTCTCCATGGATGAATTCAGCTTCCTAGGATGAATTCAGCTTTCCAAGATAAATTCCATGGTTGAATTCACCTTTCCATGGTTAAATTCAGCTTCCCATGGATAAATTCATGGATAAATGAATTCCCATGGATAATTCCATGGATAAATTCAGCTTCCCATGGATGGATTCAGCTTCCCATGGGTGAGTTCAGCTCTCCATGGATGAATTCAGCTTTATTCCCAGCTGCCATTCCATGCTCTGCCCCCCAAACCAGCCGTGCTCCATCCCCACCCTCCCTGTGGAGCCCTCTCCGTGTCCCCTGGCAGTGGGAAATGTCCCCAAACCCCCCAGAGCAGCGGGAGGAGGTGCAGCAGCTGCCCAGCTCAGGTGACAGCAGGTGACAGCAGGTGACAGCCATCCCTGCTGCTCTGCTGGCCATATGGCCAAAGCCTGGTGCCTTCATCTGCCCTAAGCTCCTTTGCCCTGGAGGTGCCCCTGACATCCCAGGGTGGAGCTGTGGAAAATGGGATGGATTTATTCTGCTTATCCTCTGCCATTCTGGTCTAATCACCCTGTTTTTATTATTTCCTAGAGAGATCAAGCCAAATGTGTTCTGTTTAACTTTTCCAGAGTCTTTAAAAGTTTTATTCCTGGGAATTAGCCCAAGTTCAAACCTGCTGGCAGGAGGGAATTGCCTCCTTTAACCCCTTTCCTTTCTCATCCCTGCCCTCAAATGGAGTGGAATAAGCTCTCAGCATGACCAGAATTCCCTCTGGAAGCAAGTTCTGCCTCTGGATTTATATCCCAGGGAAGAGAGCAGCCAAAGGAGAGGGTCAGAAAGCTGAACCTGCACAAATCCCTGAGCCTTGGAGTGTGCAAGGTCCAGGCTGGGAAATCCCTGCTGCCTCCTTTTCCTGCCACTCTGATTCTGCTCCATGGGTTTGATCCCAGTGAACAGTTTTAGGAGCAGCTGGGTGCATAATTAGCCAAAAATCTGTGGATTTAATCTCTGCTGGAGAGAGAGGCTGAGGGAGAGGGGACATTGGGATGGATCCTCCCGTGAGCAGAGCCAGCCTAGAGAGGGCTGGGAATTGATCCTGTGCACAAACAGCTGACACAACAGAAGTGACAATAATCCCCCATTAAAGATCTCTCAGTTGATGGGGCTCGCTGGGTAATTGACTTTCCAGCAGCAATTAGTGGCTCAAACCCAATCAGCAGCCATTAGGGAGCTGTGCACGAGCTGTTTGTCTTCCTCATTCCATGTCAGCCTCACAGCCAGATGATGCTGGGATTTTGGGGTGCTGCAGCACCTCCAGAATTCCCAAGGGGTGCTTTTGGAGCGCTGGGACCTTTTCTCTCCCTGTGTTTGTCCAGGTAGATTTGGCTCTTCCCTTTTCCAGCAAGTGCTGGACTGGGGTTTCACAGAGTGAGTTGATGTTCTCAGGATGCCTGGATTTATTTCAGGATCATCCTGGCCTTCCATCCAGCTGGAGCTGCTGGTTTATTTGAGGTGCTGTAGCACCCTCACAATTCCCAGGGGATACTTTTGGGGGTTTTGCACCTTTTCTCTCCATGTGTTTGTCCAGGTGGATTTTGCTCTTCTCCTTTTTCCAGCACACGCTGGACCGGGACTCTACAGAGTTGTTCTCAGAATTCCTGGATTTATTTCAGGATCATCCCGGCCTTCCATCCACCTGGAGCTGCTGTTTTATTTCAGAATTCAGAATTTATTTCTCCAGAATTCCCAGGGGGTCCTTTTGGGGTTTCTGTGTTTGTCCCAGCTGGATTTGGCTCTTGCCTTTTCCAGACTTCATAAAGTCCCTGGACCAGGACGTTACAGAGTTGATGTTCTCAGGATGCCTGGATTTATTTCAGGATCATCCTGGCCTTCCATACCACCTGCAGGTCCTGGTTTATTTGAGGTGCTGGAGCACCTCAGAGGTTCCTTTGGGAGTTTGGCCCCTTTTCTCCCTGTGTGTTTGTCTGGGTAGATTTTGATCTTCTTTCCCTTTTCCAGCATGTGCTGGACTGGGGTTTCACAGAGTGACTTGATGTTCTCAGGATGCCTGGATTTATTTCAGGGTTATCTTGTCCTTCCATCCAGCTGGAGCTGCTGGTTTCCAGCCTTTGGAGACCATTCCAGCATGGTGATTCCCAAGTGGAATAGGTCCTAACCAGGTTAATCTTTTTAAGAGCCTTAATCCAGCAAAGCTGAGCTTTCCATTTCTCTGGGGGAAAAATCCACATCGTCCTGGCAGTCAGGGCACCTGGGCTGGCCAGCAGCTTTCCAGGGGGATGATTCCCCTCCTTCTGCTCCTGCTTTTCAGGGAAGCACAGGGAGGATGGCCTGGAGGTCAGGAAGGAAGGATGACACTTTCACCACAGGCTCTGGGATGTGCCCTTGGAAAAAAGAGGGACACGAGGGGAAAAATCAGCTCTGTAGGTGCTGGATGTCATCCCAGCAGAGCCACAGAGGAGTTGGCATCCTGCTCTTCAGGAGGGAGGGAACGTGGCTGGGAGGTGAAATTCCACTTCCCAGGATGTGAAATCCCTCAGGGGGAAACACCTAAAAGGTTTGGTGTTAAAATTAAGAAGCAAGAAGAAGCTTTCATTTTTTCAGTCTTCAGGTTGTTGTTTATTTTTTTCTCTTATCAACAATTCAGCACACCCTCTATACACCAAACTTAGTGTGCAAAAAAAAAGCACCAAAAAATCACAAAACACACAAGTTGAGACTCTTTTAAAACGATTTTCTTTAATTAACTCTTAAACCTTTTTACCAATAACTAATTATTTGTGTGCTTACCCAACACCTGCATTTCAGCACTTTCTAACCAATCAAACACTGCAGAAAATGGAGTAGATGAAGAACAAGGAGATCAAACAGCACCCAAAATCCTCCATCTTGGCTTCTACCTCCATGCTGAAAACCCAAAACTCTGAAGTTTTTTTCACCCTATAATAAACTGGGTGTATAATAAAATAATATAATTTAATAATTATATATATATTAGATGTATTATATATCTCACATATACTATATAGTTGTGTGTCAAATATTTATAATGTATATATTATGTATTATAGATAATATATATAATTAAATAATATAATTTATTAAATAATAAAATATCTATTTATTTCACACACTCCTAGATTCCAATTCATCCCAGAGCTTAGAAGCTTTCTCCATAAAGGAAGATTAAAAGCAGTGTTCTCCTAGGGCTCAAACCTCAGAACAGAGAGAGAAATATTCCCTATACCTCGAATTCCAGCACCAGGAAATTGGGACAAAACCACAAATGCCCTCCTCACCTTTCTCACCACCTCAGGCTAAACCAGCAGCTGCTTTTCTATGTGTTTGTGCCTAAAAATCCTAAAAATCCTGGAGCCTTTCCCTCCATGCTGAGCTGGTTTTGTTTCCCCAGAACGGCGGCGTGAGCTGGAGCGACGACAGCGACGGCGGCCGGGGAAGGGAGATCTCCCGGGACTTTGCCAAGGTCTGTCTGGGAAACTGGGGACATTTGGGGATGTCTTGGTTTGGAAAGACTGCTTGGAGACAACTGCCATCCAGATGGCAAATAGAATCCATTTTGCCTTGCAGTCTGGGACAGGGGAACTTGGGGAATCCTCCCCTGGTCCATGGCAGAGCCCTCCCTGCAGGGAATTTATAGGAAAACTGCTTCGTCCTGCAGCTTGGGGCTGGTTTGTTGGCTTGTATTGGGTTAAAATGTTTAATTCTTATTAAAATAAGAATGAGCAACCAGACTTCGGGTATTTAAAAGTTTTAATCCAGTTTTTCTCCAGCTGGGAGAAGAATATTCTCCCTCTGGAATGCTGGATTTGAATGCTTGTGGATTTGAATGTGTCACAGCAGCTGGAGAGGTTCAATTTGAACTAAGGCAGCTCTGCTCTCCCAGAACTTCCCAGGAATGCAGCCCCAAAAAGTCCCTCTCTTTTGGGATACACTGCCTAGGCAACTTCATTTTAATGATTTGGGTGTTTCAAGAATAAATATTAATAAATATTTCTGTTTTACAAATATTTAGATTTCATAAAATATTATTATTTATATAAATGAACATTTCTAATCTATAAATATTTATATATTATTAAACATTTATATTTTAAAATATTGATATTTATAGCAATATACTATAAAATTTCTAATTTACAAATATTTATTATATAATATAAATATAAAATACTTAATAAAAATATAAATAATAAATGAAACATTTATTCCCACAGCAAATCAATCCTGGGCTGGTTTCTGGAATTTCTGAAGGCTTTTGGTTTATTCCAGCTCTGGGGATCTTTTCCAGCTCTGGGAATCTATTCCAGTTCTGAGCATCTATTTCATTTTCATTTTTGTTTTCCACCTCTGGGGATCCATTCTGTTTCTGGGGATCCATTCTGTTTCTGAGGATCTTTTTCATTTTCATTTTTCTTTTCCAGCTCTGGGGATCCATCCCAGCTCTGGGAATCCATCCCATTTCTGTGGATCCATTCCATTCCTGGGGATCCATTTCAGCTCTGGGAATCCATTCCATTTATGTTGATCCATTCCATTTCTGGGCATCTTTTTAATTTTCATTTTTCTTTTCCATCTCTGTGGATCTATTCCAGCTCTGGGGATCCATTCCAGCTCTGGGGATCTTTTCCATTCCTGGGAATCCTTTCCGTTTCTGGGGATCCATTCTATTTCTGGGCATCTTTTTAATTTTCATTTTTCTTTTCCAGCTCTGGGGATCCATTCAATTTCTGAGGTTCTTTTCCAACTCTGAGGATTTGTTCCATTTCCAGGGCTCCACTCCATTTCTGGGAATCCATACCATCACTGGGAATCCATTCTACTTCTGGAGATCTTTTCCATTTTCACTTTTCTTTTTACAGCTCTGGAGATCCATTCTGTCTCTGGGATTCCATTCCATTCCTGGGGATCCTTTCTATTTCTGGGAATCCATTTTACTTCTGGGTATCCTTTCAGTTTCTGGTGATCCTTTCAGTTTCTGGGGATCCATTCAGTTTCTGGGGATCTATTCCAGCTCTGGGAGTCCATTCCATTTCTGGGGAACTTTTCCATTTCTGGGGTTCTTTTCCATCTCCAGGAATCCATTCCATTCCAGGGATCCATTCCATTCCTGTGCATCCTTTCCATTTCTGGGAATCCATTCCAGCTCTGGGGATCCATTCCATTTCTGGGCGTCTTTTTCATTTCCATTTCTGAGGATCTTTTCCATTTCTGGGAATCCTTTCAATTTCAGGGGATCTTTTTCATTTTCATTTTTCTTTTCCATTTCTGGGAATCCATTCCCTTTCTGGGGATTCTTTCCATCTCTGGGGATCCTTTCTATTTCTGGGAATCCTTTCAATTTCTGGGGATCCATTCCATCTCTGGGGATCTTTTCCATTCCTGTGCATCCATTCCATTCCTGTGGATCCTTTCCATCCCTGGGGATCCATTCCAGCCATGACCACCAAGCCCTTCTCTGTGTCTCCTTCTGCCTGTGCTGTCCCTCCCCCTGGAAGCAGCCAGAATTCTGGAATTTTCTGTTTCCCTGGGAGCTGTGGTCTCACTCTGCTTTGTCCCCCCAGCTGTACGAACTGGACAGCGATCCCGAGCGGAAGGAGTTCCTGGATGACCTCTTCATCTTCATGCAGAAGAGGGGTGAGTGACCTTTCCTTGGATTCCTTGGATTTTCCACACCTTGCAGGAGTGGAACGGGGCAGGAGAGGGAATTCCTGCCTGCTGAGGCTGGAAAAACAAATCCTGGACTTTGGGGCATTTCCCTTGGCATTGGAGGAGAGCAGTAGGGAAGATCTGCCCTGTAAATTAAATTAAATTAATTCAATATAATTAATTTAATTTAAAATAGTAAATTAAAATAAATAAATTAATTAAATTAATTAATCACATTAATTAATTTCATTAATTTGAGTTAAATTAGTTTGCCTTCAATTTCTTTGCTTTCTGATGTAGTGCTGGTGTTGTCCGTGCCCTGAAGATCCCAGGAACCTTTTCCTGGAATTCCCAGGGTGTCAATGGTCCCAATCCAGTGTTGAGAGCAGACTGGTGATAATTAAAATGTGTTTAATTGGGGTGTTGGGTAACAGATGCACCTCAGAACGTTTGGGCTGCCCTCTTGTCCTTCTGAGGGTGTCAGTGGCACAGAGCAAAGTGTTTCTAACATCCCAATCCTAGACTCAAGAGCTGCATAGTTCCCAAAAAACCCCAAATCCAGCTCCTCTCCCAAGAGCAAAGTGTTTTTAAAAGCCCAATCCTGGGCTGAGGAGCTGCCTGGTTCCCAAAACCCCCGAATCCAGATCTCCTGAGAGCAAAGTGTTTCTGTATCCCAGTCCTGGGCTGAAGGGCTGCCTGGTTCCCAAAAACCCCAAATCTGGCTCTCCTGAGAGCAAAGGATTTCTGACATCCCAATCCCATGCTGAAGAGTTGCCTTGTTCCCAGAAAACCCCAAATCCAGCTCCTCTCCTCAAAGCAGAGTGTTTCTGACATCCCAATCCCAGTCTGAAGAGCTGCCTTGTTCCCAAAAAAAACCCAAATCCGGATCTCCTGAGAGCAGAGTGTTTCTGACATCCCAGTCCCATTCTCAAGAGCTTCCTGGTTCCCAAAAGAACCCATATCCAGCTCTTCTAAGGGCAAAGTGTTTCTGACATCCCAATCCCAGTCTGAAGAGCTGCCTGGTTCCAAAAAAAAACTCCAAATGCAGCTCCTCTCCTGAGAGCAGTGTGAAGAGCTGCTCCATTTGCCCCTGGTGTCTGTGGGGTCAGGCAGCAGCTCTGCCAATAAAAATCCCACTGTAAAAACCTAAAAGCAGGGATTTGCTGCTGTCCAGGGGGAGCTGAGGGAGCAGAAACTGCAAAGATGAGTGGGATTTCACAGGAGCTGCAGGGATGAAAAGGCTGTGATGGTTTGGGATGCCCCTGGGACGGGGCAGTCATGGAGCAGCTCTAACACAGATCAGATGTGGAGGGCTGTCCCCAAGGGCCATAAAAGGGCCCTGGAGCAGCAGAAACCATGGAAGGGGACATGGAATGGGCCTTTGTGGGGTTTTGTTCCTCAGAGGGGACAGCAGAGACAAGCTGGCACTGGCCTTTGTAGGGTTTTGTTCCTGGGAAGCTGGAACTGACCTTTGTAGGATTTTTTTGTGGAAAGGGCAAGTGGGCACAGGACAGCAGGGCTGGGGGTGATGCCTTAGGAAGGCTGAGCTAAAACTGAGACTAGACTGAGCTCAAGAATAATGCAGGGATTTGTTAAAAGAATCTCCTCAGTGGATCCACCTTGGGCAGCACAAGAGCCCAGCCAGGGCTGCACCCAAGATGAACCAAAATGGTTCAAAATGGTCACAAAAATGGACAACCAATCACAGGGTCTCTCACTTTTATGAGTTTTGGGCCATTTGCATATTGGAGTTAATTGCCAATTACAGCTTCAGTTTATGAATCCCTTCATTCTTGTTCTCTCTTCAGTCAAAGATTGCAGCTCTCCCTAAAATACAATCAGGGGTTGCAGCTCTCCATGGGATCAGGGATTGCAGCTCCCCGTGGGATCAGGGCTTGCAGCTCTCTGTGGGATCAGGGATCGCAGCTCCCCGTGGGATCAGGGCTTGCAGCTCTCTGTGGGATCAGGGATCGCAGCTCCCCGTGGGATCAGGGCTTGCAGCTCTCTGTGGGATCAGGGATCGCAGCTCCCCGTGGGATCAGGGCTTGCAGCTCTCTGTGGGATCAGGGATCGCAGCTCCCCGTGGGATCAGGGCTTGCAGCTCTCTGTGGGATCAGGGATCGCAGCTCCCCGTGGGATCAGGGCTTGCAGCTCTCTGTGGGATCAGGGATCGCAGCTCCCCGTGGGATCAGGGCTTGCAGCTCTCTGTGGGATCAGGGATCGCAGCTCCCCGTGGGATCAGGGCTTGCAGCTCTCTGTGGGATCAGGGATCGCAGCTCCCCGTGGGATCAGGGCTTGCAGCTCTCTGTGGGATCAGGGATCGCAGCTCCCCGTGGGATCAGGGCTTGCAGCTCTCTGTGGGATCAGGGATCGCAGCTCCCCGTGGGATCAGGGCTTGCAGCTCTCTGTGGGATCAGGGATCGCAGCTCCCCGTGGGATCAGGGCTTGCAGCTCTCTGTGGGATCAGGGATCGCAGCTCCCCGTGGGATCAGGGCTTGCAGCTCTCTGTGGGATCAGGGATCGCAGCTCCCCGTGGGATCAGGGCTTGCAGCTCTCTGTGGGATCAGGGATCGCAGCTCCCCGTGGGATCAGGGCTTGCAGCTCTCTGTGGGATCAGGGATCGCAGCTCCCCGTGGGATCAGGGCTTGCAGCTCTCTGTGGGATCAGGGATCGCAGCTCCCCGTGGGATCAGGGCTTGCAGCTCTCTGTGGGATCAGGGATCGCAGCTCCCCGTGGGATCAGGGCTTGCAGCTCTCTGTGGGATCAGGGATCGCAGCTCCCCGTGGGATCAGGGCTTGCAGCTCTCTGTGGGATCAGGGATCGCAGCTCCCCGTGGGATCAGGGCTTGCAGCTCTCTGTGGGATCAGGGATCGCAGCTCCCCGTGGGATCAGGGCTTGCAGCTCTCTGTGGGATCAGGGATCGCAGCTCCCCGTGGGATCAGGGCTTGCAGCTCTCTGTGGGATCAGGGATCGCAGCTCCCCGTGGGATCAGGGCTTGCAGCTCTCTGTGGGATCAGGGATCGCAGCTCCCCGTGGGATCAGGGCTTGCAGCTCTCTGTGGGATCAGGGATCGCAGCTCCCCGTGGGATCAGGGCTTGCAGCTCTCTGTGGGATCAGGGATCGCAGCTCCCCGTGGGATCAGGGCTTGCAGCTCTCTGTGGGATCAGGGATCGCAGCTCCCCGTGGGATCAGGGCTTGCAGCTCTCTGTGGGATCAGGGATCGCAGCTCCCCGTGGGATCAGGGCTTGCAGCTCTCTGTGGGATCAGGGATCGCAGCTCCCCGTGGGATCAGGGCTTGCAGCTCTCTGTGGGATCAGGGATCGCAGCTCCCCGTGGGATCAGGGCTTGCAGCTCTCTGTGGGATCAGGGATCGCAGCTCCCCGTGGGATCAGGGCTTGCAGCTCTCTGTGGGATCAGGGATCGCAGCTCCCCGTGGGATCAGGGCTTGCAGCTCTCTGTGGGATCTCCATTCCAGGGCTTGCAGCTCTCCATGGCGTCCTTGTTCCTTTTTATCCCAACTCTAGAGAACCAAACCCCACAAATCTCAGGCTGAAACCCTGAACCAGCCAGGATTTCTCCTTGAAGAAGGATTTGAGCAAACCAGGAGCTGAGACAGTGCAGGGGTGGAGTTGATTTGCTGCTGTAAAATGAATTTTCCCTCTGTTCAGCTGGGAATTCACACACCCCACGGAATTACTGTGCCTCCCTTCAAAGATGAAACAGGAAATTCTGTTTTTCTTGAGATTTGGCTCAGTATTATTTTAAATCACTGTGGACTTTCCCAATTTCCTGGGGAAAACCTGTTCCTTCTGGCTGCCTGATACAGCATCTCCCCTGAACATATTTGGAGTGGGAAGAGCAGCTTTTTATTTACCTGCTCCAGGTTGTGGCTTAAAAATGTCTTTTCTGTGTCTATTTTTCACTCCAGTGGGAGTGAAAAAATCCCATTTTAGTGGGATTTCAAGGCCTCTGTGCTGATCAAACGCTGGGGATTCTCACCTCCTTTGTTCCTTGTTGTAAAATGGACACTTGTGCGAGGAAATTGGATAGGGTAGGTGGGAGGTGATTTAAAAAGCAGAGCTGGGTGTGATTAAATGCTCTTTGTGCAGGACAAGTCGTGGCTTAAGCTGCTGGAAATCCCTGTGTGGAAGGGAATCTCCGGCATGGAGGCCAAGGAAAGCCATAAAATTCCCTGGAATTCACCTCAAACCCACCTTTGGGGCAGTTCTCCTCAGTCTGCATCTCCAGCTTGAGGTCTGCCAGCCAGGCCTGGCCAAGGGAGGGGGGAGAGGAGGAGAGCAAAGCCCTGGGGTGGGAGGGAGAGGATGGTCCCAGTTAATCCCTCAGCCAAGGATGTGCCAAACCCCCTTGCCCAGGTGATTGCCAGGTGTAATCCCAGCCACTGCAGGCTTTCCTGGGGCTCAGCCCCTCCAGGAGCTCCAGCATGGGACAGAGGGGACACTGAGGTCCCTCTGGGTTAACCCCTGAGGCTCCCTGGGACAGGGGAGACTGTATTGACTTATTGATGACACTTAGTTAATCAACAATTGTGCTTTTTTTATATTTTGTTAAAGGCACCTCCTTTTTCTTCAAGATTTTAAGACAGATGAGGCTGCATCTCACCCCTGGAGGCTGCAGAATTCTGTCTTCAAGGGGGGACATGATTTAAGCTGTAGTGTGCTAACATCAATAAGGCATAACTAAGAAGATAACTGATGATGTGATTTTTAGGGTAACACAAAATTATTTTGCTAAGGACATCCTGAATTTTTACTAGTTGTAGGGGCCAAATTGGATATATTTACTGCAGTTCAAGAGCTTGGGAAGGAGAGACATTCCCTCAAAGGCCAGAGATGTTGGTGGCCTTCCTCTGGGAAACCCAGATTGTGGCTGCCTTACAAATAGTTAATCAACAATTGTGCTTTTTTTGTAGTTTTCTTCAAGACACCTTTTTCTTCAAGATTTTCCAATTCCCCAGTTGCTGTTTA